CTTCCATCTTCAGTGTTGAAAGCAATACGTTGGTAACCACCCTCGGTGTCAACCCAGAACATTACGATTTATATTAGCATACATTATTTCATAAACCTACTACGTAACACTATGTTGGCATGCAAGCTTGCTGTGTAGTATCACACTAGATTATTTATACCGTCTCACAAATTTCTATCACAATTGCTCAAGACTGAGTATTAGATTTTTTTCTCTTTAATGTAAACCGTTCAAGGGGATCGAGACGAAATTTTTAAAAAAACTGAGATATAATTAACCCACATAACGTACTGCTACTGGAGTATATTTAAGTCTATTTAAATAGTCGTTCAATATCCACTATAACTATTACATAATAAATCTACTGAAACACATTCTAAGTCGAATAAATCCTGTAATTATAATAACTATAATATTAATTTGGATTGAGAAGGGTAACATGCATTTTAATTTCTTAGAAACCTAATGAAAGATTTGAGGAATCCAGTGACAACCATTATAAACAGCTTCTAACATTAAAATTATTAGGATTTATACCCATTCTTCCAACTGAACAATGGGCTCTCTCATTTTAGTAATGGTACGTAAAATACAAGTTATTTATCACTGCAATTTCTCTTAGCATCGCTTTTCATTTACTTTGCTGGATGCGGTTCGGATTAGCAAAACGTGCCAAGTGGAATCAAGGAAATGTAAAATAAACGTTCAGAGGTAAGCCAAGAAAAATTACCGTTCATATATTCCGTAAAGAATATGGTGAATACCTGAATTATTAATTCGCAGGAAATTTATAGATGCCGAATCAAACAACAAAGTTCCTTAGTGTAGATGGCGACTGAACAAATTGGCATAAGACAGAAGTGATTAGATGCATGATCATAGTACTTAATTCACGTAATTTTTGAACACATGGAAGGATAATATTAAAATCCACGAACAATATATTCCTACATAGCTCCAAGAAGGTTATTTCTTGTTCGGTGATACGACATTCTACTTCTCTGCGTTTGTCAAAAGTCAGAGTTAGCTGAAGGAGCGTGAACATTGTTCGCATCATACGGAGGGGAATGAGAAGATTAATGAACGTGGGGCTACTTGGAAAACGGAAGTTTTCAGAATTTTAAACCCCCAGATATTTCCTAAAGCACTCGTCCTGTCGAAATGTTGATAAAGGGACTATCCTAGGGCACAGGTGTACGACGGCTGGCGGATAAAACAAGTGCAAGAAATTGTTAGTTGCATAAAGAAACAACAGTGTCGAAGATAAGCCTATGTACGGAGGTGTGAAAACGTTGACGTTAAAAAGAAACCATTGGAATGAATTATATTAGATACAAAAGAGTAACTGGAGATCCCTAAAGCCAGCGAACAACAATTTAACACTGATTAGACAAGACCTAGTACATTAAGTTTTACTCAAATCAATACAGAAATACAAAGAGATCTCACAAAAAATTCACACAGAAATAGTAACAATCGAACAACAAATACACTTTCCACCATTGTCCTGATAGAAATAGACATGTCGGTCATGTAGAATCCGGCCGGAACGCAATAATATAAGTCTAACCATACTTTAAAGCTGTGCTGCGAAAGGAAAGTCCAAAATGTGCCTCAATAAAGGGTCTATGATATTGTATAAAAATTGCGGTTCGTTGTACTTTAGGCCTAGCTACCACTGTGGTACAATAGCCAGGACAAAACCGTGCGTCTCACCAACTTGTGGGGAGAAGTAAAAATGCATACACCATGTAATCAAAAGATATTAAGAACACATAAATGAGAAAGCGAGCTGCAAAACACTTCTACTAGGAAATTATCTTTATAATATACACGGTATATCCTTCCTTATCTGCTACCCATTTCAACCTCTCTGATTCCCTTGACTTCGATTTCTGTCGTGGAACGGACAGATTCGTCCCGACTATTGTACAATGCCCCAAATAGGTAGACTCAATCGCAATATTCAGATTGCAAAGTGTTTTGCAACGGCTTTTCATATTACACATGAGTGCCCGTATTAAACATGTATTGCTTATTGAGCTCATAAAACACACCCAACATCCTGTTTGTAAAATGTAATGTGAAAAAAAAATTCAAAATGGATATTTCTGGTAGTACCAGAACTTCCACAGTGTGATATGATGATTTAACGGAACCATTTTTTTTAATAGTTAGTGGTATCACAGTGCTACAAATTCTGTTCCTGCATAATCTGTCGTCACCTAGGCTCTGTTTTTACGCACTTACCTGAAAGAGAACGATTTTCGTTAATCAGTTAAAGGGAATTAGTTAAGAAACTTACGGTTTGAATTCAGGTAGACTGAACTTATGGTGCCTCACAAGTTGAAAGACACAGTCAACGCATTTCATATTTCAAATGTTCAGTCTTCATAAAAGAATCTTTCAGGCATACGTAGATGTAGAAAAATTTAAGGCACGGCACCTCGTCTCCTGACTAATGCGGAAGAGATTTATCTTGTTTAGAAGCGTATTTTTTTCCAGACAAGATTTCCTCATTGATAACTTTTACAGGAACTTTCCTAACAAAATATTTCTGCAGCTAAACTCTAGAAACATTTCAATCTGAAATGTCAAGAGAAGCGAAGATATAAATAAACCGTTACATCTTCGCGTGTTCTATTTTATAACGACATTTTCTGCATCACCTACGTGAAATATTGAATTTTGGACAAATTGTAATTATCACTCAGCTGTGTTACCAAGAAAACCAATAATTTTAGCCACCACACGGAGTTTCACTAATCGAAAAGAAATACAACCCCCACTTGAAGCAGCATAACGCGCAGGGCATCGTCTTATGACGTCACTAATCGGATATTATGTAACTTAAAAACGTCTATCGTGACGTGAAGGCATAAAGGGACATAGAGCGGCACAAAACCTCGACATCGGCTCTAAAGAGAGGCGAGCAATCAATTCGGCTATTCGTTCGCGTACAGCATCCAGAGGCAGGAACTCAGATCCGTTACGAAGTTGTCAACAATTACCTTCGCCTTCCCGGAGTCAAACTCTCAACAACCATAACTTTTAAACCACAGTCAAAAAAAAAAAAGAATAATGCTTCAACCCAAGCAGGGCCATGCTAATGATGGATTCTGGCAAAAGTACCTTAGCCCCCTTCCCATTACTTTTCTTTTGAAAAATTCTCTTAAAATACGAGACCAGAAATTTTCAGTTTTTTAAAGGAAAACTGAAAAGAATAAGAAATTACTACAAACACGTAATATAAAATTATCTTCGTTTAAAATATAATTTCAGGGCGTTTATATATTAAAACCAAAAGTATGAAACACCAAACGTAACAGCGCAAAAATTCTTCATACTTCTTTGTGTGTCCACTGCCCGGATATGTGACTCGAACGTACAAGCTCAAATGTCCATTACTTTTAAAATTATCGTGGGGTGTGAAGACACTAAAATCAGGGAACCATGGCAGCAGCCCACTTTGACCTTTGGATATAGCGGCACTGGCGTCACGTCGTTAACAAAGCAACGCTGACAGTGAGACACACACAGAGGCTGATGGCGACGGCAGGGTCGAGGTTCCGGTCAGGCTGTTCCTTAGAACATCGTCCCCCCCCCTTTCACATGACGCGTTAAAGCGGGTTTGAATTGTACACAGTCAAAGTGAGCATAAACAGACTGATGTTACACTTATTACGAATACTGTATTTAAAATGGTCAGAAAATTCTATCGGTATTTAACCACCTATTAAACTACAGACACTGTGAATAATGTGTCAGTAAATTTGAAAACAAAGAACAAAGTTCCTTAAATGATTGTATGACACATAATAGATCTGGTGTTTATGTAACGATTTAAGATCAAATAAACATCGTCATTTAAAACTAAACATTAAGTCCACATGGCTCGCAATATAGAAATATTTTTGAAACAAACAATGCACGAAAATATTAGCCAAGAGAAAATTGTTTGCAACTACACATCGGCTCTATCAATAGTAACGCAGTAATTATGATACGACTGAACGATTTTAAATGTGTTCTAAGAACAGAGTATTAAACTTGTAAGTACATTTAATTTGTTCCTTATTTTCAACCCTGAATCTTTCTAAATATATAACAGAAGACCATCTAAAAGCCAGTCTAAGGTAAATTTTAAAGTCACGAAAACAAACATATAAAAATAAAAAATATATGAAATACATGTTTTCGAAACGAAGGCATCCCTTGAAGGAGTCGAAATTGTAATTTTCAAATTTCATTGAGAATCAATTTCATATTTTGAAAGTTTATCGGCGTTTCAGAGGAGCTTTTAGGCTCCATCATTACCCTGACGGTGGAAGCAACAAGCATATCTGAGACGTAGGTAAACTCCTACAAGACAACACGACATGACAACCCCGAAGTTGGGAGGAAAACCTATTTAAGCAGCGAAACATTAATTACATAAGCGCCACTACGTCGTTATCGCTGTTAAATTTTGCGCATGTTCCTTCTTCTTTTCAGAATCCGAAAAAATAAAGATTCTAGATTCTTCGTACGCCACCCAGTAAAGTACCGTATAAATCAGTGCTTACCGCTAAGTCATTCACGGAAGACCTATACTTCAGAAAATATTTCGGGATACTGCCTTACCAATTTCAGGCTCCACCAATGTTAAATTTCTTGCATTATTAGCGCAGAACACATCTAGCAACTCACAACAGTTACAGAAGAAGAGGCACTTCTCTTCCTCCCTTACTTCAAATTGAACGTAAAGCTGTAATTAAGTTCATGTACTCACCGTGAACGAGGAGAAGAAGAAGAAGACAGAACGCTAGCGAGTGCAGAAACAGCATTTTGGATCTTCCTCATGTGTCACTGTGACTGCCGTTTATTTCCAATGTAGACAATGACGAAAATGATGATGTCACTGATGTTAACGATGATGAAGTCATTATGTAAGAGGACGTCTTGTTTATTTTTCGACGAAGCTGGAATGCGGAATTTTTTCGAATTAATACTCTGCCTCTAAAAGTATCTTCACTTGACTAACGTAAATATTACACTGAATTCGTACTACGTTTTTATAACGTTTCGCTTATTTTGTCAACAAGATATACAAAGCATATCCCGCAATTATTAGAAACAGCAAATTTCTGTCATCATATCAGATAGGAAAATAAGTTACTTGGTTACGTATACAACACATACAACAGATTATGATAAGTTTGCTGATGCAGAACAAATTCACTTCACATTAATTGGTTTTCACAGGTTGATACCAAAAACATTCACCCGTTCTTTTGTTCTAAACACGTTAACTAGATAAGAACTTCAAGTATTTATTTCTGAGTAGAAGCCACATGAATACTCACACAATATTACACTTATAGTTTAATTAAAAAAGTAATTAAGATATAAATAATGCAGAGCTGCTATATACGCACATTTTTATTTAATTTAAATTAAGGGAAAACATAAGGATTTGAAGAGGATGACCACTTAGACAAACGTCAACTGTTCCTTGACACAAAGTCTGTTCCCACTTGAGTAAATAAATATTTAAATTTAAAGCAATGTCGTTAAAATATCATCCGCAATGCTAAAGATTAGAAGAATATTCCACGTGGGAATCTGCTTTGAAAGAGTCCGTATGTCCCTTCTGATATTCGCTACAAAACGCACACACTCCGTATATTATTAAAAGGTCACAGGGTGGAAATCTTCCACACTATTATTTGCAAGTAAGGTAGCAAATTCATTTATATTTTCTGCAGCCATACAGATACATAGCACTAATTTATAATCCTTTGTATACGCCTCACTAAGGAATGACTCAACAAAGCAAAACGTTTCTTTCTCACGGCTACTAAAAAGAACACCGTTGAGACACGTGTCTGCACTAAAGAAATGGCTATATTCAAGGTCGTTTTTCTGGTAAAATGTAGCACATGTATCACTGCGCCAAAAATAAGAAACAGCTGGTTTTGAAAAGAAATTCTGTTCAAAAATTACCACAAGTCTTGAAACAAGGACTCGAGTTGATGGTAAAACACATCTCGTCTATGGCGTTTCAGTAATTTTGTATCTTGCTGTGTAACAAATATATACGTCAGTCGGCCGTCAGCGTCAAGTTTCTTTGACAAGCTGAAGTGTTTTATGGCTACCATTCAACTAGAAACAAGTGATATTTGCACCGCAGCGCTCCCAAGCGACCAGACCAGGACATGCACGTCAACCGCTTTTAATTCACACCTGGCTCAAGTTCACAAGTGAAGGTACAAACAGACGTTTTACGTACACCGCGAGCAGCTCTTTCGACCCGCTTGGTTCGACGGCTCGGAGCGAACTGGAGTCGAGTTGGGACGCTCAGCGCCCCGACGGACATCAGTGAATTCCAACCCCCTACCCGTCGGCAGCCCCATCAACCCTGCACGGATATTTGCGGGTGGTGATTTCCTCCCGCGGTCAACACAGATGTTTATTTCATAATAATCTGACTACGTAAGTATAGTTTAAAAGGGAAGGTTCTACTATATATGTGGGGGGAAAAATTTTAATTTTAAAACATCGTCCAACAGTCTTGTAGTACCAGTTATAACAATGCAACTGTATTATTATTTTTATTATGATACACTGTTATTATTTATGACCTAATTTGTTACTGTAGTAACAAAATTATTTGACTTTGCCACTGTTTAAAGGGATTTGTTGGCTACCTTCAATCATGATTATTTGCAGTCTGGTGCCGAGACATGGGCATATACTTAATTTCCGCTACATTTATTTCAACATTAACCAACTACCTCATCACCACGTAACACATCTCTGTATTTTGTTTATGTTTTCGCCCAATAAATTAACATCATCATCACAGAGCAGACGTTGACGTGTTCCCCTGTGAATATGAGTTTAAAATCGGTTCAGTATCATAGTTCCACAGCATCCGCCGATTCATGGTCCATCACTACACGCCACATGGACCTGTTACACTGCTCGTTACAGGTCAAAACTATAAATCAAACTCTGAGCCACACCTGCAAGGTATTGGGCCCCTGCATTAACATCAGCGCATAATTTTACGATTGTAAAAACACAGTATATTGAAAAGCTCGATCACAGCTCAGTTCATTGTTCCACGCCCGTCCGTCGTGCTTGACGTTCAGCAGTCTTCCATAATTCGTTATAGAAATGAGATTCTCTTTAATGCCCAGTGGGAACTACATGCTTTGTTAATTGGGAATGGTGCATATTTCCTTAACAGCGTCAACCAACTTATCTTGATTTATCATCTAATTGTGAAGTGCGTGTTTTCTTTGAGGGACGTACTGAATTATTAAATATTACTTAGACGGGGCTCCACTTCGAAGGGTTTGAACTACAATGCTCTATTAGGGCGGCGTCCTCAAAGACACTTCGAGAGATAAATCCGCACTTCCTATGCATTTTGCTTCTTGGCCTGGACGAGGTCCGGGTGTGAGGCTAGTTCAACCAGGGACCCAACAGAGAAGTATTTTCCTTTTCTCTCATTTTTACCTAATGACGATACCAGAACCACGTTTCAAAACGTTATGATTATATGCATAATTCATACGAAGGACGAGGTCCAAAAGAAAATTTGTACACATTGTAGAGCATCACAGTCAGAAAGCTTCAAATTTTGACCACTGTTTTCTCTTATTTCCAAATCTTTATTTGTTATAAACAGTCTCAATAGCACTTTTTCTAAATATCTACAAATCTACAACATCCCCTTTGAGCGAGAGACCATTTACGTGGGCTTATTAAGAGGCAACATATTCAAAATCAAATTTTATAATAACTCAACTCAGAAGCCTTACAACTATAATGAACATTTTGATACTATTGTCTTTCCTTGATACTATCATATGGAACATGTAAGGATAATAAATGGCTATTCGCTTGATGTGGGCGGGAGAATTGGTGAAGTGTAGTCGATCACTATTCCGACCTTGTCGCGGAGGAACCATGAAGAAGTATGTGGAACCTGTCAGATCTGTCTCGACAGTGGTTCGAACTGGTACCCTCCGGAACAAGGGTGAAATCCTACACGTAGACGCACTCGGCCTAAGACATATTTAATATATGTTCATATTCACTTAAGTTTGTTTAAGTAGACCTGTGTTATTTGCATCTACAGCTTATGTAAGTCCACGTTTATAAACAGCGATGACCAATAAACAAGTCTATATTTATATACGGCCTCAATAAAAAGTATATTAATACAATACATTCCGTACAAATTAGTATCCTAAGATGAACACAACGGCATGCTACAAAGTCAAAGAAGGCTTACGTAAATATAAATTAGTTATGTAGAGCGGATTTCATACTGAAGGAAAGTGATACAAATTATACTTAATCAACCGGTTCTTACCTCCAAAAACACATCAAACCTTCTATACAAATAAGCCACCTAACGGGACACAGGATAATAATCGCTGTTTACTTAGTGAGGGAAACGAAACTCTACAATAGACTTCGTGGCTGGAATTATATGTCATTCAACTGAAAAATGCAATTCGTGTACTTAATCCTTCCTTATAAAGAGTTACGATATTCATAGCAAGATATCTTAGTACAGCTTCGTTCATAAAATCAAAAAATAAATTGGTCAGCGCAAAACAAAGGAACGGACGGGCCTCAGGCAACGCCAGTTCCAATCGGCGATCGCGCTACAAAGGATCAGATTTGCTACGCAGCAGCCCTGAGGATGAAAACAGAGATTGCTCTCGAAATGTTGGCAGAAGATATGGTTTCTTCACCATTCTGCCACTTGCCGCGGCTTGTAACCCGAGAGTCTTTCGTCAAACAATAAATAATTAAATGAGGAGGACAACTAATTATAACAATTTTTTGGAAACATAACAATAGTCAACATAAAGTAGTTTGAATTAAAGACACTTGTGAATGGTATTAATTGTTGACCCTTGGCGTAAAAACAACCCTATTTCTGCCTTCTCACAGAAGAGAAAAAATGCTAGAGCGCAGACATTTCCACCGTAACTGCGCCTCTGTGTGTGTGTGTGTGTGTGTGTGACGCATCAAAATACTTAGGGGAAAACTAAAGAAAGAAGAGAAAATGCCCGAAAAAAGAAAGTTAAGAGAGGAGTGTGATTGATAACGGTCAGTGTATCACACAGCAAATCGCAAAGACGCACAGGCCTTCCCAACTCTAATGCTTTGCCATATAAACAACGCTCAGCTGCAGCAAGATATATTAACAAAAGTCCTAAAGCTAATAGGCTGGAGTAGCTGTGACCCTCTCCTGGAGACAGTTTTATATCCTGCTGTACTGGGACCGACTACTTCCAGGAGCTTCCCCACAGCCAAGCCATATTTCACCGGATCGCCGGACGGAACGGCGAACAACAGCAACAGTTGCCAAGGTACCAGGGCGACCGTAAATTATCTGACCTTCTGATGGTCCACTGCAACAGATATTCCTTATTTTCAGGATAATCGTTAGCTTTGTTAAATGATCTGGTAGAAGATTACTGACGATTTAGAAGGCATATTTATACTCGTGAGAACTTCAAACCTCATTGTAAGATTTGAGGTTTTCACAGCGGTGAGTATGAAGATTTCTGTCTTCTGGGTTTTGCGATGTGTAGTCTGGTAGATGTTTACCTGATGGAGGCAGTATTACCTCTGAAACGTTGGTAAACATCTACCACACT